CGACGTGTCTGTCGGCCGCCATGTTGTTTATCATCACGTAGTCGTATAAAAATGGAAGGAGGGTGAAAAAGACTAAGGCAACTCTAAGACACTGTGTACAACTTCTACTCACTTACTGAAGAAAGGAAAGAGAGAATCTTAAAAGAGATAAGAGGCAGACTGGGTTTCTGAGCCAGTGAAAGTTCACCTCCTGCTCATCCCATACAGTCTCTTCACAACCTTGCTCTCTCTCTCTCTCTGCTCCCCTGTGAAGCTCAGCCCTGCGTGTCTGCAGCTGTTCTGTAGGAAAAATGTCACAGTGCTAAAGTGTTTCCCTAGTGATGGAAGAGACAGGTATTCTGTAGGAAGAGGTGTCACAGTGCTGAAGTGCTCCCCTAGTGATGGGGGACACAGGAAGACAGGTGTCCAATAGGAAAAGGTGACACAGGGTTCCTGGTGATGTGCACATCCATAGTGACAGTGGAAGGCCGAAACAAGAAAATACTCTTCCACTTCAGACCCCTATAAATATGCTATTTCCCCACGTGGTGTACCCTGGGCCCTTCCCCATAAATTATAGTTATAGTGTACTTATAAGACAAAGCGACCCTGGCCTTCCACCCTGTCCAACTGTACCCCTTTCCCATAAGATACAGCTGTTGTACTGTACAAGACAAGCGATCCTGTCTTCCCTACCTCTCCAATCTTACCTCCCCTCCACCGTGACAGTTGTATTGTCGCTCAACCATATGAGACCTTTGACACGCCTTGTTCTCCCACTCTGTGTGACCTTCCCCTTCCCCTATGAATGAGAGGAGTACTGTACTTATGATATGTAAGACAACCTTTCCCCATAAATAACAGTTTTACTATACGAGACAAGCAGCGACCCTGACCTCCGACCCTGTGCGACCACCCACAGTAAAGTGATCAGTGTGTTGTAGTCTATAAAAACCCTCTCTGCCTCCTGGTATTGTATGGCATAGAGGTTAGGCACACCAATAAAAACCCAGTATAGTACAGTGGCTGCCAACTTCAATCACACACTCAACCACACGGTCACATTGTTTGTGCGCAACCTGGTCTCAGCGCAATTCATAGGTAAGGAACGTATGTGTGGGTGCAACACTGAAGCTAGAGCCTGCTACCGGCTGTGAACCTCGGTACTGGTGGTGTTAATGTACCAGCACTTGGTAGAGAGGTGTTAACGTACCGATGTGGTGGAAAGCATAGCCTCCAGCCCCGGACACCCATCATTAATATTCACTCAGGACCGGGGGGCATGGAGAGGACCAGATCAAATATTAATCACCAACCTGTCCTCTACTCTCCACACAGCTAAGACAATGCAGGAGTGGCTTCGGGACTAGTCTGAATGTCCTTGAGTGGCCCAGCCAGAGCTCGGACTTGAACCTGGTCGAACATCTCTGGAGAGACCTGAAAATACCTGAAAATAGCTGTGCTGCGAACCCCCCATCCAACCATACAGAGCTTGAGAGGATCTGCAGAGAAGAATGGGAGAAACTCCCCAAATACAGGTGAAACAAACTTGTAGCGTCATATCCAAAAGGACTCGAGGCTGTAATCGCTGCAAAAGGTGCATCAACAAAGTACTGAGTAAAGGGTCTGAATACTTATGTAAATGTCATATTTTTCTGTTGTTAATTTTTTTCTACATTTGTCATTGTTGGGTATTGTGTGTAGATTGATGAGGGAAAAAAAAACAATTTAATAATAATGTTGTAACGTAACAAAATGTGGAAAAAATCAAGGGGTCTGAATACTTTCCGAAATCACTATATAGGGAATAGTGTGTGCCATTTAGGCCCTGGTCTAAAGTAATGCACTATATAGGGAATAGTGTGTGCCATTTAGGCCCTGGTCTAAAGTAATGCACTATATAGGGAATAGGGTGTGCCATTGTCCCATAGTCCCGTGTAGCTCATTTGGTAGAGCATGGCACTTGCAACGGCAGGGTTGTGGGTTCGATTCCCACGGGGGACCAGTATGAAAAAAAAATTATGCACTCACTAACTGTAAGTCGCTCTGGATAAGAGCGTCTGCTAAATGACTGAAATGTAAATTTAGGCCCTGGTCTAAAGTAATGCACTATATAGGGAATAGGGTGTGCCATTTAGGCCCTGGTCTAAAGTAATGCACTATATAGGGTGCCATTTAGGCCCTGGTCTAAAGTAATGCACTATATAGGGAATAGGGTGTGCCATTTAGGCCCTGGTCTAAAGTAATGCACTATATAGGGAATAGGGTGCCATTTAGGCCCTGGTCTAAAGTAATGCACTATATAGGGAATAGGGTGCCATTTAGGCCCTGGTCTAAAGTAATGCACTCTATAGGGAATAGGGTGCCATTTAGGCCCTGGTCTAAAGTAATGCACTATATAGGGAATAGGGTGCCATTTAGGCCCTGGTCTAAAGTTATGCACTATATAGGGAATAGGGTGCCATTTAGGCCCTGGTCTAAAGTAATGCACTATATAGGGAATAGGGTGCCATTTAGGCCCTGGTCTAAAGTAATGCACTATATAGGGAATATGGTGCCATTTAGGCCCTGGTCTAAAGTAATGCACTATATAGGGAATAGGGTGCCATTTAGGCCCCGGTCTAAAGTAATGCACTATATAGGGAATAGGGTGTGCCATTTAGGCCCCGGTCTAAAGTAATGCACTATATAGGGAATAGGTTGCCATTTAGGCCCTGGTCTAAAGTAATGCACTATATAGGGAATAGGGTGCCATTTAGGCCCTGGTCTAAAGTAATGCACTATATAGGGAATAGGGTGCCATTTAGGCCCTGGTCTAAAGTAATGCACTATATAGGGAATAGGGTGCCATTTAGGCCCTGGTCTAAAGTAATGCACTATATAGGGAATAGGGTGCCATTTAGGCCCTGGTCTAAAGTAATGCACTATATAGGGAATAGGGTGCCATTTAGGCCCTGGTCTAAAGTAATGCACTATATAGGGAATAGGGTGTGCCATTTAGGCCCTGGTCTAAAGTAATGCACTATATAGGGAATAGGGTGCCATTTAGGCCCTGGTCTAAAGTTATGCACTATATAGGGAATAGGGTGCCATTTAGGCCCTGGTCTAAAGTAATGCACTATATAGGGAATAGGGTGTGCCATTTAGGCCCTGGTCTAAAGTAATGCACTATATAGGGAATAGGGTGCCATTTAGGCCCTGGTCTAAAGTAATGCACTATATAGGGAATAGGGTGTGCCATTTAGGCCCTGGTCTAAAGTAATGCACTATATAGGGAATAGTGTGCCATTTAGGCCCTGGTCTAAAGTAATGCACTATATAGGGAATAGGGTGCCATTTAGGCCCTGGTCTAAAGTAATGCACTATATAGGGAATAGGGTGTGCCATTTAGGCCCTGGTCTAAAGTAATGCACTATATAGGGAATAGGGTGCCATTTAGGCCCTGGTCTAAAGTAATGCACTATATAGGGAATAGGGTGCCATTTAGGCCCTGGTCTAAAGTAATGCACTATATAGGGAATAGGGTGCCATTTAGGCCCTGGTCTAAAGTAATGCACTATATAGGGAATAGGGTGCCATTTAGGACAAATCCCTTCATTCCTTTTTGCCTGAACGGAAGGAGGGAAGAGATGTGGTTGTGGAGAGGAGAGGAGAGGGTACTTCAATATTCAGTTATTCAGTGTTCCTATGGGGCCTGTTGGGTTAAGTGCAGTAGTAAAAAATAACACAACCACTAAGAAATGGCTCCTGTCAAAGGTGATCTCAACTAGGAAACATGGTAAGCCAGACAAAAAGAAAAATGACAAGCAAAAAATGACATGGAATGGAAATGTCTTGTGCATTTGCAAAGCAGGATAGCCATGGCACTACCAAATATATATATTTGTATTTGTCAATAGATTTCTATTACATTGCATTAATTTCCCCCCCAGTAATATCTCTGGTACTCTTAGACCTAGTGAAATTGACCGTTTAACGTTTCCGCCATCTAGTGTATAATAGATGTAATTCATTTGATGTAATTCATTTGACGTTGGCTACGCAATTCCTGCGTAAAATACGTGATAAGCGTAGGACAAATGTGGGAGGGTGCTCTGCTGTTCCTGTACCGCTACATTGTAACTGATCATCAAATTACAATGTAAATCATAATCGGAACATTATTTTCAAACGCAGAACATATTATTCATGTCATATCCACCACCTGGAATACCGGGTGGCAATGAATCAACGAATGCATGGTTTGCTGTCTAAATATCAGGCGCTATCAATGTAGGATATCCGGAAGAATTCAGGGAGGCTTGCAGGAGCCAGTGCGGTGTTGACGTAAGAGCTAAAGCCATTTCAAGCGATGTCTAAGGTTCCGTGACATATTTAACTGATATATTTTATTATGAATACCATGCACGCCAATTAATATGCCTCTGAGCTGTGTTAGTTAGTACGCCACTGACAGAATAAGGGAATATGCAAAGTATTATGTATGTGGCTATACGAGAAGTGTATGATGATAAGGGTAACTTGCAATGTATGTATTATGTTGAGTGTGTAATGTACAGTGTCTATTTTGTATACAGCAGTACTGTGTGTCAAAGACAATTTTCCCCTTGGGACATTAAAGTTAATTCTATCCTAACCTGTCCTATATTTATGTATGTTATGATAGCTATGTGTCAGGTCTTTGGTCCCAGTCTATCAGTGTATTTGGCTTTGTCATAATGCTTGTTCAATACCTTGAGTCACAAACCATATTTTTCTGATTACCCTATTATCATTATCTCTGTGACTTTAGAGTTGATGGTGATCATGTTTAGTGTTCTGTATTGAACCACTGACTGACTGGTATGATGATCATGAGATGACTAGTCAGTCAGTAATGTACCTGTTTCTCAACCATTATTCATTGCGTTGTACCAGGACCCTCCTCCAAGGTGACAAACATCCAATCAAAGACTAGCATGTGAGAAGATGGACATCCCAGCAGCCAATCAGAGCTACGGACATGGCGGGCAGCCCGGGGTGTGTCATAATGGCTGGTCAGCAGCCCCTACCCCCTACCGGTCTTGGATGTACCGCTGCCCAAGGACTCTCCAGTGACCCTCTACCCAGCTTAAAGGGTCTGAACCTGGGCAGAGCCTCACACCAGAGTCCCTCTAATAACATCCCTCCATCCATGGTTCAGTTACAGTACTCACACCAGGGCTGTCTCAGCAGTCTTCCTACGCCCCCAGTTACGAACCAAGGACCTTCAGCTCTTTTACCATGCCTGAATCAAGGTCCTCACATACCACACTCAAACATGGGTCCTTATATTTCCCACAACAGCCCTCCACCATCAACACTCCTACCTCTGAAACAAGGACCACCACCTAGCGGACCTCCATCCATGATACCTTCTACAAACCAGGGTCCCCAGAATACTGTCGCTCCTCCAGTCTCTTCCTCATCTCCATATCCGTATCCAAACCAAGGCTTTGTGAATGGCCCTCCAGTGACGTTGACGAGTCCAAACCAAGGCTTTGTGAATTGCCCTCCAGTGACGTTGACGAGTCCAAACCAAGGCTTTGTGAATGGCCCTCCAGTGACGTTGACGAGTCCAAACCAAGGACCTCCCAACAGCAGTTTTTCAACCATGTCACCATGTGGGAACCAGGGCCAACAGTGTTCACACCGTTATCCTCCACAACTCACCTCACCAGTCCAGCAGCAACCTCAATGGGCCCTGCCTCAGCAACACTATAACCACAGTGGTAAGCTATACACTAACACGCTAACAGAGTCAGGTGCATGCATGACCTATACTATACATCAATAATTGTGTTGTAATATGTTGCTCCTAACTCTTCTGTGTCTCTCAGGTGTAATGTACAAGCCTGGTGCCACCTCTCAACCTGTACAGGAGGGTACCAACATGCAACCAGTAAGAAAACATACCATATTAACAACAACATGTAGTAACAGACGCTCACATCATCTTCCGGAAGGAGTGTCATTATTACTGATTATAAACTGGGTGGTTAGAGCCCTGAATGCTGATTGGCTGACAGCCGTGGTATATCAGACCGTATACCACCGGTATGACAAAACATGTATTTTTACTGTTTTAATTACATTGGTAACCAGTTTATAATGGCAATAAGGCACCTATGGCCAATATACCATGGCTCCGTGTTGCGTCGTGCCTAAGAACAGCCCTTAGCCGTGGTATATTGGCCATATTCCACACCCCCTTGTGCCTTATTGCTTAATTATAACGTTGTTATACCAGTGTGTCTCTGCATACTAGAAGTGACTAATCTGTCCTGGTGTCTCTCTCTTCCTGTGTGTCTGTGTCCAGTCCTGTCCGTCTCCAGGGGACAGTGGGGTGTCCAGCCCAAGCTCACCTAGCTCAGAGTCACGCTATGGCCTACACCCTCAGCTTCTACCCAGCGCTGTAAGTGTCCCTCCTCTTCCTCTAGACGTCATCCTCCTCTCTCACTATCTTTCTCCCACTCCTCTCTCTCCTCTGTTGTCTTTGCCCTCCTCCTTGAAGACACTGCACAACTCCTCTTTTATTCCTCTCTCTCTCTCCTCCTCTCTTCTCTCAGAGCGAGAGGGAGGGGGAGCGAGAGGGGAAGAAGAAGAGAAGAGAGAGCGAGACTCGGAGCAAGGGAGTAAGGGAAGGAGAGAGATTTCTCTCTCTCGTCTTCTCTCTCTCTCCTCTCCTCCTCTCTCTCTCTCTCTTCTCTCTCTCCTCTTCCCGACGAGAGAGAGCCTCTCTCTCTCGCTCTTCTCTCGCTCTCTCTCTCTCTCTCTCTATCTCTCTCTCTCCTCTGTCTGTCTCTTCTCTCTCTCTCTCCGCTTTTCTTTTCTCTTTTCCTCTTCTCTTTCTCCTCTCTCTCTCTTTCTCTCCTTTCTCTCTTTCTCTCACAGGTGCGTGTGATGGAGGAGGACAGGACAGCATGGGAGGGGAAGGTGTTTGTGTCTAAACCCAACTCCTCTCTACCTCCGCTGGCTACCACAGACTGTGTCATGGAGGACAGAGGTAGGCCTCAGGCAATACAGCAATTCTGTATAATATTTACATAAATAAATATATTTTATAAATAAGACTAAAATCAGTTACCATTATATAAATGTACTGCTAACCAAACTATACAGCTATCACCCAGCCCCTGGCCCCTAGTTAAACTACACAGCCTATCACCCTGCCCCTAGGCCCTAGCTAAACTACACAGCCTATCACCCTGCCCCTAGGCCCTGGCTAAACTACACAGCCTATCACCCTGCCCCTAGGCCCTTGCTAAACTACACAGCCTATCACCCTGCCCCTAGGCCCTGGCTAAACTACACAGCCTATCACCCTGCCCCTAGGCCCTAGCTAAACTACACAGCCTATCACCCTGCCCCTAGGCCCTGGCTAAACTACACAGCCTATCACCCAGCCCCTAGGCCCCTAGTTAAACTACACAGCCTATCACCCTGCCCCTAGGCCCTGGCTAAACTACACAGCCTATCACCCAGCTGCTGGCCTGCTGGCTTGCTGTGTGTGAGTGAATTTTGTGAGTGTGTACTCTGTGGCAGCTGACCAGTTCTGTGGTTGTCTCTCTCTGTGTCCCTAGGTAACTGCAGTCCTCGGTTCATCCTTTCTACCTCCTACTGTGTTCCGTGTGAGGGCCAGACGGCCCTCCAGAGCCACCTACCCCTGGGGGCCCTAGTCGCCCCTCTGGCTAGGCTACACACAGGAGAGGTACTAACCTGTACTATCACAGTTCCTCTTGTAGCCTGGTCCCAGATCTAATTGTGTTGTATATCCTATTACTATAACGACCATATGGTTGTTGTTATGCCATGAAAACCACCATAGGAGTTGGCTGTACAGCACAAACCGATCTGGAAAGGAAAAGGAAAGAGGGATACCTAGTCAGTTGTACAACTGAATGCGTTCAACTGAAATGTGTCTTTTGCATTTAACTCTAGAACCGCCTGACCTTTCAGCCTATAAGTACCCGATAGGGAGCGTTGCCAGATGTCCTCATTAGAATATGCATCAGATGCATATCAACCCACAAGATGCAGCAAAAATAAGCACCAACGTTTGATAAATAGTGCAGAAACTATTGTAAAGCATGAATTGCATTAATAAATATTTGTGGAAATATACCAAATTTACAAAAATAACAACAATAGTTATTTGTTTATATAAGAGTCAAGGATATGTTTTGTATAATTCTACAAAGTCCTCGAAAAAACCTGGACATATAGCCTATTTTCGTTTCCCTTACAATAAAAACATAGTGTAATCCATTTGATCAACTTTATTTGCATCGCAGTGCTAACTGTGCCACTAGAGATCCTGGTTCGAATCCAGGCTCTGTCGCAGCCGGCCACGACCGAGAGACTCATGGGCGGCGCACAATTGGCCCAGCGTCGTCCAGTGTAGGGGAGGGAATGGCCGGCAGGGATGTAGCTCAGTTGATAGAGCATGGCGTTTGCAATGCCAGGGTTGTGGGTTTGATTCCCACGGGGGGCCAGTATAAAAAAATATGTATTCACTAACTGTAAGTCGCTCTGGATAAGAGCGTCTGCTAAATGATGTAAATGTCATTAATAAAGTCCAGTCACAGCTTCTTTTGACAAAGTAGAAACTACAAATATAATAATATAACCAGCCAGGTGTTCAGGTGAAATGATTTGCTGTATTCCTTAACAGAAGCACCAGTGCATGAACAGTTGTAAAGGATGAATTGCATAAATAAATAGCATATTTGAATTTTAAGTTTATTATGTTACTAGTTTTTGCTTAGTAGCCAGAGCAATGCTGCAACACGAGTGGTCATGTGCTGAATGAATGGACTGCACGGATATTCTTGGAAAAGTTAAATGTGGAAATAGAGCTGCAACTCTTGAATTATGGGAGTTAAGTGTAATAGAAACTGCAGAATATGGTAATATACACTACCAGTCAAAAGTTTTAGAACACCTACTCATTCAAGTGTTTTTCTTTATTTTTACTATTTTCTACATTGTAGAATAATAGTGAAGACATCCAAACTATGAAATAACACATATGGAATCATGTAGTAACCAAAAAAGTGTTAAACAAATCAAAATATATTTAATATTTGAGATTCTTCATTACACTACTGTTGTTCTAAATTACATCAACCTCTTCACCCTCATCATTCAGATAGGCCTACTTTAAATTAGATTGTGAAGTAACTTGCACAGTTATTGCCGATTCCAACCATTTGTCATTCATTCAGTGGGCTGGCATCGTTTGCTTTGCTGGATAGAGTCAAGGATATGTTTTGGATTATTCTAAAGTCCTACTGCAACATTTACCATGTTTTTGTGTAGCTTAAAATACAGTTGAAGTCAGAAGTTTACATACACCTTAGCCAAATACATTTAAACTCAGTTTTTCACAATTCCTGACATTTAATCCTAGTAAAAATGCCCTGTCTTAGGTCAGTTAGGATCACCACTTTATTTTAAGAATGTGAAATGTCAGAATAATAGTACAGAGAATGATTTATTTAAGCTTTTATTTATTTCATCACATTCCTAGTGGGTCAGAAGTTTACATACACTCAATTAGTATTTGGTAGCATTGCCTTTAAATTGTTTAACTTGGGTCAAACGTTTCGGGTAGCCTTCCACAAGCTTCCCACAATAAGTTGGGTGAATTTTGGCCCATTCCTCCTGACAGAGCTGGTGTAACTGAGTCAGGTTTTGTAGGCCTCCTTGCTCGCACACGCTCTTTCAGTTCTGCCCACACATTTTCTATAGGATTGAGGTCAGGGCTTTGTGATGGCCACTCCAATACCTTGACTTTGTTGTCCTTAAGCCATTTTGCCACAACTTTGGAAGTATGCTTGGGGTCATTGTCCATTTTGAAGGCCCATTTGCGACCAAGCTTTACTTCCTGACTGATGTCTTGAGATGTTGCTCCAATATATCCCCATAATTTTCCTTCCTCATGATGCCATCTATTTTGTGAAGTGCACCAGTCCCTCCTGCAGCAAAGCACCCCCACAGCATGATGCTGCCACCCCCGTGCTTCACGGTTGGGATGGTGTTCTTAGGGTTGCAAGCTCCCCCTTTTTCCTCCAAACATAACAATGGTCATTATGGCCAAACAGTTCTATTTTTGTTTAATCAGACCAGAGAACATTTCTCCAAAAAGTACAATCTTTGTCCGCATGTGCTGTTGCAAACCGTAGTCTGTTTTTTTTATGGAGGTTTTGGAACAGTGGCTTCTTCCGTGCTGAGCGGCCTTTCAGGTTATGTCGATATAGGACTCGTTTTACTGTGGATATAGATACCTTTGTACCTGTTTCCTCCAGCATCTTCACAAGGTCCTTTGCTGTTGTTCTGGGATTGATTTGCAGTTTTCGCACCAAAGTACGTTCATCTCTAGGAGACAGATCGTGTCTCCTTCCTGAGCGGTATGACGGCTGCGTGGAGATACATCCACAGGTACACCTCCAATTGACTCAAATGATGTCAATTAGCCTTTCAGAAGCTTCTAAAGCAATGACATCATTTTCTGGAATTTTCCAAGCTGTTTAAAGGCACAGTCAACTTAGTGTATGTAAACTTCTGACCCACTGGAATTGTGATACAGTGAATTGTAAGTGAAATAATCTGTCCGTAAACAATTGTTGGAAAAATTACTTGTGTCATGCACAAAGTAGATGTCCTAACCGACTTGCCAAAACTATAGTTTGTTAACAAGAAATGTGTGGAGTGGTTGAAAAACTGGTTTTAATGACTCCAACCTAAGTGTATGTAAACTTCCGACTTCAACTGTACATTTGATTAGTAATAGAGTTATATAGTAATAGTTATAGTAAGTAAAACTGTCCCAAAACAGCTTATTTCTACAAAGTAAAACGTAAAGAGAACGGGATCAACCGCCAAGGCGCGGGGTCAAATTATTTGCTGCTGATAAATATTCATACCACAAACTCATCATTACACTATTGTCTTTCTAAATGAAATCAACCTCTTCATTCACCTTGTCATTGTTAGGACTCATTTATATTCAATTGTGAAGTAATGTGCACAATTATCGCCCATTCATCCATTTGTCATTTATTCAGTGAGGAGAGAGAGACGCATTAGCGCCTGGCTGGGTACCAACGTCCTACAGCACATTATCTTGGCTGGGTACCAACGTCCTACAGCACATTATCTTGGCTGGGTACCAACGTCCTACAGCACATTATCTTGGCTGGGTACCAACATCCTACAGCACATTGTCTTGGCTGGGTACCAACGTCCTACAGCACATTGTCTTGGCTGGGTACCAACATCCTACAGCACATTATCTTGGCTGGGTACCAACATCCTACAGCACATTATCTTGGCTGGGTACCAACATCCTACAGCACATTATCTTGGCTGGGTACCAACATCCTACAGCACATTATCTTGTCTGGGTACCAACATCCTACAGCACATTATCTTGGCTGGGTACCAACGTCCTACAGCACATTATCTTGTCTGGGTACCAACATCCTACAGCACATTATCTTGGCTGGGTACCAACGTCCTACAGCACATTATCTTGGCTGGGTACCAACGTCCTACAGCACATTATCTTGGCTGGGTACCAACATCCTACAGCACATTGTCTTGGCTGGGTACCAACGTCCTACAGCACATTGTCTTGGCTGGGTACCAACATCCTACAGCACATTATCTTGGCTGGGTACCAACATCCTACAGCACATTATCTTGGCGGGGTACCAACATCCTACAGCACATTATCTTGGCTGGGTACCAACATCCTACAGCACATTATCTTGGGTGGGTACCAACATCCTTACAGCACATTATCTTGGCTGGGTACCAACGTCCTACAGCACATTATCTTGTCTGGGTACCAACGTCCTACAGCACATTATCTTGTCTGGGTACCAACATCCTACAGCACATTATCTTGGCTGGGTACCAACTTCCTACAGCACATTATCTTGGCTGGGTACCAACTTCCTACAGCACATTGTCTTGGCTGGTTAAATCAGGAATAGGTAAAAAGGCTCTAAATACTTTTCTGTTTGTGATTTCAACATTCTGACAAATGAGTAGTGTAAAATTCAAACATTTTGTAAAAATCAGGGAAGAAGCTGGACATAGCTTTTTTGGGGGCACATTTTCTTTTTACAAAATCAAATGTCAGTGGCCGTTGGCCTATGGCGGTTCTAGTGTTAACCCAACCCCTCTGAATCAGAGAGTGGCCCCAGGCTAGTCTCACTAAAAATAAAAATACATTAAATAAAAGAAAGGGCTGGTGGGACCTATTGATAAAACAAATAAGAGTTAAGCCATCACTATATTGAGAATAGAGAACCACTAGAGTCTGTCTGGCTTGTGAATCCTGTTCCCTTGTTGTGTTGTGCTCTCCAGCGCCCCCTGTCTGTGTGTATGGAGGCAGACACTGTAAAGGGCTGTGGGGAGTGTGGGGCCTACATGTGTTCAGCTATGGGATGGCAGGACTGTGGACAGAGATTCTACTGCCCATTCTGTGGGAAACTCTGTGAAGGTAAGAGACATTTATCCTGCTCAATGTCTTCTGTTGTCTTCTCAGACTGGAACACAGCACTTGTTGTCTCCATCTCTTTCTCTCTCCCTGCCCTTCTCTTATTTTCCTTTACATAACTCATGTTCCCTCTGTTTCTGTCTGCCTTCACTCTCTGTCTCTCCCTCCTAATCGTTATGCTTTTACTCTCTCTCTCTCCTTCCCCATCTCTCTCGCCCTCTCTCTCTCCCTCCCCCGTCTCTCTCTCATGCTCTCTCCCTCCCCGTCTCTCTTTCTCTCTCTCCCCACGTCTCTCTCTTGCTCTCCTTCCCCCTCTCTCTCTCTTTCTCTCCCTCCCCCTTGTCTCTCTCTCTCCCTCCCCTCCCATCTCTCTCTCTCTCTCTCTCTCTCTCTCTCTCTCTCTCTCTCTCTCTCTCTCTCTCTCTCTCTCTCTCTCTCTCTCTCGCCCTCTGTCTCTCAGTTGGGTGGCAGCATTACCAGCCCACACAGGGAGTAGAGGGGAACAGAGTGGACAGAGAGCAGAGACCTGAGCTCAGTCTGGGCTCCTATGAAATACTGGACAGTCAACAGGATGTGCCTGCTGCTGTGTTGCTCCTGGCTGTTGATGTGTCTGCTGCAGCTCTGAGAGGAGGACAACTGGAGCTCATCAGTCAGCAGCTACGTTCTCTACTCACATCACTAAACCGGTAAAACACACACACACACACACACACACACACACACACACACACACACACACACACGATGTCATACTTAGTGAGATCCCTCTTGGTTTGTTTAAGGGAGGAAGGTGCGGTCCAATCAGATGTCCGTGTGGGGTTGATGACCTATGACAGCCGGATCCACCTCTATGACCTCAGCCCTGCCCTGTCCCGCCCACACATGCTGGTTGTCACGGAGACAGAGGACCTGCAGCTTCCTGTGAGGGAGGGGCTTCTGGTGCCACTCAAAGACTGCATAGACAGTATCGACAGGTAGGTTCGACACTCTTAAAAAATAAAAGTGCTATCTAGAACCTAAAATGGTTCTTCAGCTGTCCCCATAGGAGAGCCCTTTGAATAACCCTTTTTGGTTCCAGGTAGAACTCTTTTTGGTTCCAGATAGAACCCTTTTTGGTTCTATGTAGAACCATTTCCACAAAGGGCTCTACATGGAACCCAAAAGGGTTCAACCTGGAACCAAAAATGGTTCAACCTGGAACCAAAAATGGTTATCCTGTGGGGACAGCTGAAGAACCCTTTTGGAACCCTTTGTTCTAAGAGTGTACAGTATAACACAGAAACATAGCTAGGGCAGTCAAGTATGTGTGCCTGCTGACTGCGTATACTAGCTAAGCACACTCAGAACAAATCAGCGATTGCCAATAATGTTGCATTACAGATGTTGACATCAGTCCAGACAAAGTGTCAACATAGAATTCTAACCCTGCAGAAAAGTATTAACTTGGCTATAATATTATAAAAGCATCCCTTAATGCATACAATGATTGCTTTAATTGAGTCAACCTTTCCTCTCTGTGTTGTGTAGTGTTCTGCAGCGTATCCCTCTGTTCAGTGCAGAGTTTGAGGAGGCCAGTGGAGTTCTCTTGGAGCTGCCTGTCAAGGCTGGACTGGCCATTCTAAAGGTAAGAACCTCTCACTAACACACACACCATCTCTGAAGAAGAGTATAGAATTGTTCTGAGAAACTCACTAGTAGAGATATAACGCAAGGGCTTCTCTTCTCACCGTGCAGGAGGTGGGTTGTCCTGGCAAGCTGCTGGTCTTCCACACCGCTCCCTTCACCGAGGGAACACACACACACAACTCCTCTGGTTTCTTCAGCTCCAACAAACCAAAGGTAACACACACACAAACACACACACACACACACACACACACGTTCAGTAATTTAACCCTATCTTCTCTCTCTCTCTCTGCTTTGTATCCCAGTCTCTGTTTCAGCCCCCGGACCATGCTGTCTCATTGGCTAAGGAGTGTGTCAGTCAGGGCTGTGGTGTGCACCTGTTTGTGTTCGCCCAGCAGAATGTGGGCGGGGCTTGGCCGGGACATGTTCCTTACCTGACAGGTGGAGAGCTGCACTGCTACCACAGTCTCCAGGTACCAGACCAGACATTTAGGAATGTAGCAATGCTACATGTGGCTAAATGCTGAACACCGGTTGAGATAGAGTCTGACCAGCGAAATAAAAAGGAACCACACTAATTTGACATAAGCTGAGTATAAACACTGTTCATGTAAAAAAAAATGTAATCTAAACACTGCTGCCATTAATTTCTAATGTGGAATGTTGTGAAATGACCTTAGGGCGCTTTCATATACACTACATGACCAAAAGTATGTGGACACCTGCTCGTCGAACATCTCATTCCAAAATCATGGGAATTCATATGGAGTTGGTCCCCCCTTTGCTACTATAACAGCCTCCACTCTTCTGGGAAGGCTTTCCACTAGATGTTGGAACATTGCTGTGGGAACTTGCTTCCATTCAGCCACAAGAGCATTAGAGAGGTCGGGCACTGATGTTGGGCGATTAGGCCTGTCTTGCAGTCACGTTCCAATTCGTTCCACACCGATCTCGACAAACCATTTCTGTATGGACCTCGCTTTGTGCACGGGGGCAGTGTCATGCTTAAACAGGAAAGGGCCTTCCCCAAACTGTTGCCACAAAGTTGGAAGCACAGCATCGTCTAGAATGCCATTGTATGCTGTAGCGTTAAGATTTCCCTTCACTAGAACTAAGGGGCCTAGCCCGAACCATGAAAAACAGCCTGTTAAGTGAATTAGTGTCTCTGTGCGTCTCCCAAAAGGTTGTAAGTCTTTTGGGATTTAAGTAACGGCCAGAGTCCCGGTCTGCATGGTCAGAGATATTTATTCATTGAGAATTCTGCCATCACAATTTCAGAGTCCATCTTTTATACTCATACGTCACACAAAAAGAAATCCCTTCCCTCTGTAGGCGGGCTGTAGTTTTCCACTCTAAAACTGCTCTACTGACCTTCAGTTCACACACACACATATACACACATGCATACACACATACACACACACACACACACACAACACCACACACACACACAATCTACTCCGGCATTACTCAGTTATTGCGTTCTCACAAATTCTGCACCAGTTTTCATAACAGTTTCTCCCCTCCCTAAATTGGGAGGCCTCTTATCTTAGTTTCTCAGTTGTCTTTGTTGTCTGGCCTAAACTCTTACTCACATTGCTTAAGTGTGGCTCAATGCCATAGCCTTTACTGGTCCTACACTCACACATTTCTAACACATTATATACAGTTTCAGGGTGTAATAATTAGTCATTTAATAATGAATCTATCACAGCCCCAGACCATTATTCCTCCTCCACCAAACTTTACAGTTGGCACTATGCATTGGGGCAGGTAGCGTTCTCCTGGCATCCGCCAAACCCAGATTCGTCTGTCGGACTGCCAGATGGTGAAGTCCACTGTCGGAGAGCTTTACACCACTCTAGCCGATGCTTGGCATTGCACATGGTGATCTTAGGCTTGTGTGTGGCTGCTCGGCCATGGAAACCCATTTCATGAAGCTCCCGACGAACAGTTATTGTGCTGACGTTGCTTCCAGAGGAGGTTTGGAACTCCGTTGTCAGTGTTGCAACCGAGGACAGACCATTTTTTTTCACTACGCGCTTCAGCACTCGCCGATTCCGTTCTGTGAGCTTGTGTGGCCTACCACTTCGCGGACGAGCCATTGTTGCTCCTAGACGTTTCCACTTCACAATAACAGCACTTACAGTTGACCGGGGCAGCTCTAGCAGAAATTTGACGAACTGACTTGTTGGAAATGTGGCATCCTATGGCGGTGCCACATTGAAAGTCACTGAGCTCTTCAGTAAGGCCATTCTACTGCCAATGTTTGTCTATGGAGATTGCATGGCTGTGTGCTCGATTTTATACACCTGTCAGCAACGGTTGTGGCTGAAATAGCCGAATCCACTAATTTGAAAGGGTGTCCACATACTTTTGTATATATAGTGTATCTCTGTATGATCCAGATACTAGAGTGTTTGGTACCCTGATCTGCGCTATAATGCATGTGTGAAACGCAAATGAACCATGGCTGAAACCAATCCTGGACCTGCGTGAGGAGCGGGTCCAAGATCCAGGACCAAAGTACCAGGTATTGTGACGCAGCAGGGAGAGTCGCGTGGAACCTTTTGCCCATTGTAAACAAGATAGCTTGCTAACGTCATGTAGAATGTGCATCTCGCAAAGCAAAACATATTTGTAAAATTCTCACAAACACTCCAGGAAACCGAACAAAGAAACCAAATGTCATATGTGAAAACGCCCTTAGTTTGGGGTGCACAATTCTAATTCACTATTCTGACTGATGTTTCAGGGAGAGTTGGACAGGGAGCGTTTCAGCAGTGACCTGAGGAGGACTGTAGAGACAGAGACGGGCTATAGGGCCATACTCAGTGTACACGTCAGTAAAGGTAAGACCAGACCTCTCCTTCCCTCCGTCTCTGTCTCTCTCTGTCTCTGTCTTTATCTCTGTCTCTGTCTCTCTCTGTCTGTCTCTTTCTTTCTTTCTTTCTTTCTTTCTTTCTTTCTTTCTTTCTTTCTTTCTTTATTTATTTCTCTCTCTCTCTCTCTCTCTCTCTCTCTCTCTCGCTTTCAATTTCAATTCAATTTAATAGACTTTATTGACATGGCAAGTTAAATTACTTACATTGTCAAAGTATACATATAACAAAAATGGTGGGACCAACAGCAATAATAATAGTAGTAGTGGAAATGGGATTACCATTAACAGCAACTACAACAATATTAATGAGAATAACAATACATTAAAGTAATAGTAGTCGACCAATCTCAACATGACTGAGAAGACACATTACATGGTATGAAAGCCAAAACAAAACAGGAAATATTATTGACATTACATTACACTTTTCACTGGCTGTCCCTCAGGTTGTGGCAGGAGGACACATATTTGGCTGTCAAAATTGCAAATTTTGGCTCTTGTATAGTTTCAAATTATTTGTACTGAATGATAATTTTGGGAAAGAAAGATTCTCGTAGGTCTGAGTATTTGTCACAGTATAGTAGGACATGCAGCTCTGTCTCTACCTCTCCCCTGGAGCAGAGTGAGCACAGCCTGTCCTCTCTGGGCAGCCAGGTTTGCCTGTGATGACCGGTCTCTATAGCCAGACTGTGTTCACTGAGTCTGTACCTAGTCATTGTTTTCCTCAGTTTTCTGTCAGTCACAGTGGTCAGATAGTCTGCCACCATGTACTGTCTGTTTAGAGCCAAATAGCATTGAAGTTTACTTTGATTATTTGTGTCTTTCCAATAGGTGATATATTTTTCTTTTTGCTTTGTGATGATTTGGTTGGGCCAGATTTTCTGAGTGCTGTCCTGAGGCTCTATGAGATTAGTTTTGGTTAGTGAACTGAGCCTCAGAACCAGCTGGCTGAGGGGACTCTTCTCTTGTTTCATCTCTTGACATAGTAGAGCTGTGTGATGGAATGTTTTAGGGTCACTTGTTTTTAGATGGTTGTAAAATTTGATGGCTCTTTTTTCTATTTGAATAAGGAGGGGGTATTGGCCCAATTCTGCTCTGCATGCAGTATTTCGATTGGATGTTTGTCCCATTTGGTAAATTCATTATTAGAGAGCGGACCCCATACTTCACTGCCATATAGAGCAATTGGTTCTATAACCGATTGGAACATTTTGAGCCAGATTCTAATTGGGATTTCGATTTTAATATTCCTTTTAATGGCATATAATGCTCTTCTTGCTTTGTCTCTCAGCTCACTCACAGCCATGTGAAAGCTACCTGAGTTGCTAATATTGAGTCCTAGATATGTGTAATTTTTGGTGTGTTCTAATAGAACTGTGTCCAAATAGAATGTATATTTGTCATCCTGATTTCCGGACCTTTTTTGATATATCATTATATTTGTTTTATTTTAGATTAACAGAACCTGTGCAGATGATCTAGATGCTGCTGTAACCCCTCCTTAGTGGGAGACAGTAGCACCAGGTCATCTGCGTACAGCAGACAATTGATTTCAGTGTTGTGTAGGGTGAAACCAGGTGCTGCCGATTCTTCAATTTTTTTTGCCAATTCATTAATGTAGATGTTAAATAGTGTTGGACTTATTGGGCAGCCCTGTTTCACTCCACATCCCTGAGAGAAGAAGTCTGTTTGCTTGTTTCCAATTTTAACCACACATTTGTTTTTAGTGTACATTGATTTAATAACATCATATGTTTTCCCTCCAATACCACTTTCTATTAGTTTGTAAAAAAGACCTTAGTGCCAAATTGAATCAAATGCTTTCTTGAAGTCTACAAAACACTAGTAGATTTTGCCATTGTTTTGGTTTACTTGTTTGTCAATTAGAGTGTGGAGGGTGTAAATGTGGTCTGTTGTACGATAATAAAAAAAAGAATCCAATCTGGCTTCTGCTTAGGACGTCGTGTTCATCAAGGAAATGATGTAGTCTGCTGTTTATGATACTGCAGAGACTTTTCCCCAAGTTGCTGTTAATGCAAATTCCTCTGTAATTATTTGGGTCAAATTTGTCTCCATTTTTATAAATTGGTGTGATCAATCCTTGGTTCCAAATACCGGGGAAAATACCTGCAGTTAGGATAATGTTGAAGAGTTTGAGGATAGCCAATTTGAGTTTGTGATCTGTATATTTGATAATTTCATTTAAAATACAATCAGCACCATAGGCCTTTTTGGGTTGGAGAGTGCAACGTTTTTCCAATAATTATTGTTCTGTAATTGGGGTATCCACAGGATTCTGATAGTCTTTGACTGCTGATTCAAAGATTTGTAATTTTTCCTGTATATCTTGTTGTTCTGGGCTCTTTGTTATATTGCTGTAGAGGTTTGCAAAGTGATTTCTCCACATATCCCCATTTTGGATAGCCAATTCCTCATGATGAGGTTTGTTAAATTTATTCCAATTCTCCCAGAAGTGGTTTGATTCTATGGATTCCTCAATCACATCCAGCTGATTTATAATGTGCGGTTCTTTTTTTGTTCTTAGAGTGTGTTTGTATTGCTTCAGTGTTTCCCCATATTGAAGGCGTATATTTTTGTTGTTGTCACACCCTGGCTCTGGGGACTCTATATGTTGAGCCAGGGTGTGTAGATTCTTTGTGTTCTTGTTCTATGTCCACAGTCTAGTATGGTGTTTCTATGTTGGCCAGAGTGGTTCCCAATCAGAGGCAACGAGTGTCAGCTGTTGCTGGTTGTCTCTGATTGGGAGCCATATTTAGACAGGCTGTGTTCCCACAGGTGTTGTGGGATCTTGTTCCGTTTGGTTTGTTCCGTGTTGGTTGTTTAACCTAGGACGTCATGTCACGTCATCGTTTATTTGTTTTGTTCGTGTTATCACTTTGGATAATAAAGTATGTTTGCCTTCAACGCTGCGCCTTGGTCTACTCCGTTCAACGATCGTGGCAGAAGATCCCACCAAAACTGGACCAAGCAGCGTGTCCAGGAGCCATCGCCAGGGGAATCGCTAGCGGATCTCCGTGGCAACCTCGACTGGGTCAAGCCTAGTGAAGAGCAGAGAGGGTGGACTTGGGAGCAGTGGAGGAAGAGTCTCGACTGGGTCAAGCCATGTGAGGAGGAGAGAGGCTGGAGTTGGAAGCAGAAGAGCGAGAGTTGGGCGAGAACTATAGAGGCCTGGCCCACGGGGAGGAGAGACCCCCAGAAATTTTTTAGGGGGGGGCTCACGCCGTGGACGATGGGGCAGCAGGAGGCCGCGATGGGGCAGCAGGAGGCCGCGATGGGGCAGCAGGAGGCCGCGATGGAGCGGTCCAGCGGGTTTGCAGAGGAGGCCGCCAGGTTAAGGGGGCCACTGGTCACAGTGGAGAGGGAAAGTGTGGAGGCACGGCGAGAGGTACTGGGGTGTGTTACCAGTCCGGTCCGGCCCGTTCCTGATCCCTGCATAGGGCCAGTGGTGTGTGTCCCCAGTACGGTCCGGCCTGTTCCTGTTCCTCGCATCGAGCCTGTGGTGCGTGTCGTCAGCCCGGCCCGGCCTGTTCCTGCTCCCCGCACCGAGCCTATGGTGCGCGTCGCCAGCCCGGCCCGGCCTGTTCCTGCTCCCCGCACCAAGCCTATGGTGCGCGTCGCCAGCCCGGTCCGGCCTGTTCCTGCTCCCCGCACCAAGCCTATGGTGCGCGTCGCCAGCCCGGCCCGGCCTGTTCCTGCTCCCCGCACCGAGCCTATGTTGCGCGTCGCCAGCCCGGTCCGGCCTGTTCCTGCTCCCCGCACCAAGCCGATGGTGCGCGTCGCCAGTCCGGCCCGGTCTGTTCCTGCTCCCCGCACCAAGTCAGTGGTGCGTGTCGCCAGCCCGGCCCGGTCCATTCCTGCTCTCCGCACCAAGGCAGTGGTGCGCTTCGTCAGCCCGGCTCGGCCTGTTCCTGCTCCCCACACCAAGCCAGTGGTGTGCGTCCTCAGTCCGGCACGGCCCGTGCCTGTTCCACCGGTGCCTGGTCTGGTACCGGTCAGCTGCTCCACGTCGGAGCTAGAGCAATCCGCTCCACCAGTGTTCAGTCCAGCTCCGGCCAGCAGGGCCAGACCGGACCAGGGGTACTGTGGTGGGTTAGAGAGGGAGTGGGGATCATGCCCAGAGCCGGATCCGCCGCCAAGGCGGAGTGCCCACCCGGTCCCTCCCCTGTGGTGTTCTGTTGGCGCGGTCGGAGTCCGCGCCTTTGGGGGTGGGGTACTGTCACGCCCTGGCTCTAGGGACTCTTTTATGTTGAGCCAGGGTGTGTAGAGTCTATGTTTTGTGCTCTTTGTTTTCCATTCTAGGTCTTGTATTTCTATGTTGGCCAGAGTGGTTCCCAATCAGAGGCAACGAGTGTCAGCTGTTGCTGGTTGTCTCTGATTGGGAACCATATTTAAACAGTCTGTTTTCCCTCAGTGTTTGTGGGATCTTGTTCCGTGTTCCTAGTAGGTTGTGTTTGAGCTAAGGACGTCACGTTATCGTTTTGTTGTTTTGTTCGTGTTATCTTTCAGATTAAATAAATATGTTTGCATTCAACGCTACGCATTGGTCCTCTGTTCCCGACGATCGTGACAGTTGTCTGGGTCTCTGTGTTTTTGATTAGATATATTTCTCAATTATCAAACAATTTAACATTATCAAACAATTTTTCATTATCTATTATTTTGGGGTTGCTCTTATGTTTCTTTAGATTAGCCAAGGAGGCTAATTTGTCAAATATAAAGTTTATGTTCCAAACAGCCAAATGTACACCTTCATTGCTGTAGGAGAATGTTAAGGCTAAAAAGTTGTCCAGGAGAGATTGTATTTTTTGGCTACTAATTGCTTTTTGGTAGATTTCTGTACTGTTTGCACTCCATCTATAGGTCTGTTTAGTACCATGTAATTTATTGGGCCGTGATGCTTCATGGTTGGGTTCTGCTCTTCTCAGATACACTGTGATTTTACTGTGGTCTGAGAGAGGTGTTAGTGGGCTGACTGTGAAGGCTCTGAGAGACTCTGGGTTGAGGTCAGTGATGAAGTAGTCTACAGTACTGCTGCCAAGGGATGAGCTGTAGGTGTACCAACCAAAATAGTCCCCTCTTAGCCTACCATTGACTATGTACAGACCCAGTGTTCGACAGAGCTTTAGGAGCTGTACTCCATTTTTGTTTTTCACTTTGTCATAGTTGTTTCTGGGGGGGGGGGTATGTGGGGAGGGAAAGGTTATTGCTTCCCGGTAGGTGTTTGTCCCCATGACTGTTAATAGTGTCTAGTTCTTCTGCTGTTCTAGCATTCAGGTCTCCACAGACCAGCACGTTGCCTTGGGCCTGAAAGTGACTAATCTCCCCCTCTAGAATGGAGAAACTCTTCATTGAAGTAGGGTGACTCTGAGGGGGGAATGTAGGTGGCACAGAGGAATATGTTTTTATCTGTTAAGATAGCCTCCTTGTTGATTTTTAACCGAATAAAGAATTATCCTGTTTTGATCAATTTGATTGAATTAGTTACTTGAGATTTATACCATATTAGCATTCCCCCTGAGTCTCTGCCCTGTGTGATTCTCTCGTTGTGTCTGCCCAAGTCCCACTACCAAGGCATGGGGATGATAGACAGGTGTTCTGTCTGATAAAGTTATTGATCTCTGTCCCTCCAGACCTGCGTGTGTCAGGGTGTTATGGCTCGTTCGTCCCTGGGCCCAACCCCGCCCACGTCGCCATGGCAACCCTTGATTGGCGGACAACGCTGGCCGTTGAGTTAACACACAGCAGAGCTCTGGACGAGAAGAGGGGCGTGGTCGTACAGGTGGGTGGAGTTTTGCAGTAGAAGCACTTTGTGACAGTTGCTGATCTAAAATGGTCTAGAGAGCCAGGTCATAAGGTCAGAATACTGCTGAATGTAAATGGTCTAGAAAGCCAGGTCATAAGGTCAGAATACTGCAACATGTAAATGGTCTAGAGAGCCAGGTCATAAGGTCAGAATACTGCAACATGTAAATGTATTTGTCAACACTGTTGTATTATGTCTTAAGTTATGAGACATGGTATGAAGCTTTACAACATGTTAACGATATTGTTACCCTTTAATTATCTCCTAAGACGGTCCTGTCCTACACCAGCCAGCAGGGAGAGAGGAGGACCAGGGTCCACAGTCTGTCTCTGTGCTGCTCACACCACCTACTGGACACCTTCTGTAACTGCCAGGCCCAGACCCTGCTCACCTTCTACTGCAAGAAGAGTAAGATCACTCGCTGACTAACCTTAACCTTAACCCTAACCTTCTACTGCAAGAAGAGACCATTCACTGACTAACCTTAACCCTAACCCTAACCTCCAGTCTACAAAACTTACTGTAGGAAATTACTGATTTGAAAGCATAGATAAGAATTGTATCCATTGGATAGGGTTAAAGTAGAGGAACCCTTCTACCCAGTCCTGGCAGCCAGATTAATGATGACTCTTTACAGAAACTCAGGGAAAAGTGTCAACACTATTGGTGTTTTTACAGACCTTTTTTACTTATCTTTTCTACTCCTGTTCTGTTTTTAACTGTCCATCTATATCAGAAAGTTACAAGTTAATATCATATGTTTAGGACAGTGCCTGAACACTGATGGTAGTCTCTCTCTCTCTCTCTCTCTCTCTCGGTCTCTCGTCTCTCCTCCTCCTCTCTCTCTCCTCTCCTCTCTCTCTCTCTCTCTCTCTCTCTCTCTCTCTCTCTCTCTCTCGTCCCCTCTCTCCTCTCTCTCTCTCTCTGTCTCTGTCTCTCTCGTCTTCAGTGTACTGTGCGGTGTTGGAGCGTCCTCTACAGGAGCTGAGAGAGGAACTGCAGACAGAGGTAACAGAGGCTCTGGCCTGCTATAGGAAACACTGCAGCTCCTCCTCTGTGTCCCCGGGACAGGTGAGTGGACATCATGGATTTCAAAAGCACCTTTCTCCCTGTCATGAGCTCATGTGGTTGTTGTGGATATTTCCTCAAGCTCCTCATACATACAGTATTTCCCCTCTAATTTCTCATTTAGTAAAGGGTAAAAAGAGTTTACCATTTAGTAAAGGGTAAAAAGAGTTGACCATTTAGTAAAGGGTAAAAAGAGTTTCCCATTTAGTAAAGGGTAAAAAGAGTTTCTCATTTAGTAAAGGGTAAAAAGAGTTTCCCATTTAGTAAAGGTTAAAAATAGTTTGCAGGAAGAACTTCAAACAACATCAAGGCAGTAAAAATAGCCCTTTATGCCTGGTTTAACTTAGGTGATTTTCTCTCTCTTTTAGTGGTCCTTCCGCAGTACCTGGGGGCCCTGCCAGTCTACCTCAACAGCCTGAGTTGACTGTGCTTGTCTCTTTGTGTATCCTACTATAGCTCAGGGTTTTCAAAACTAGGGGTCGCGGCCCCATGTGGGGTCACCTGATTTGAAAACGGGGTCGTGTTGTTCATAGAACCGGGGTTACGTCAATAACCTCCTGTAGCCGCTGGATGCGGTTGTAAGAAACAGAGCGGTTTCTGTTCTCCTAATAATGTGGCTCTTTTGTATGGTTTAAGCCACAAAATATTGTGACCCCATCACTGAAAGATAAGACTCTCTGGAACACGTATGCCATGTACTGTTTCCCTTTACTGAGCCCACAAGCCTCATTAGATCAGAGTGGACAAGACCAGGTGCTAAATCAGACTGGGGGAATAAGAACATCATCTGATGCATTTCAGTCACTTTAAACCATTACATCACCCTTTTTTTTTACATAGTGGGGTCGCAAAAACCTTTTGCTATCAAAATGGGGTCGCGGGTCCTTAGCTGGTCCTTCCCCAGTACCTGAAGTCTACCTCAACAGCCTGAGTTAGCTGTGTGCATCTCTGTGTGTATCTCACTATAGCTGATCCTACCCCAGTACCTGAAGGCCCTGCCAGTCTACCTCAACAGCCTGAGGAAGAGTGAAGTTCTTCTACCCGGCCTCCGCAGCTCAGTACACCAACGCCTGCAGCTCCGCAGCCAAGTGGTCTCCATGGATACCAAGACCACAGCAGGACACTTCTACCCTCTGTTGCTACCACTAGTAAGGGGTGATGGTGGTGGTGGTGATGGTGTTGGGGGGGGTGGTGTTGATGGTGGTGGTGGGTGTGATGGTTATGGTAGTGATGGTGGTGGCGACATCACATGGAATAATTGAGATAGAAATACATAGCCACATCTGTTCCTCTGTGCCTCTGTCCCTCTGTCCCTCTGTCCCTCTGTTCCTCTGTTCCTCTGTCCCTCTGTCCCTCTGTCCCTCTGTTCCTCTGTCCCTCTGTCCCTCTGTGCCTCTGTCCCTCTGTCCCTCTGTCCCTCTGTTTCTCTGTCCCTCTGTCCCTCTGTCCCTCTGTCCCTCTGTTCCTCTGTCCCTCTGTCCCTCTGTCCTTCTGTGCCTCTGTCCCTCTGTCCCTCTGTTCCTCTGTCCCTCTGTCCCTCTGTTCCTCTGTTCCTCTGTCCCTCTGTTCCTCTGTCCCTCTGTGCCTCTGTGCCTCTGTTCCTCTGTCCCTCTGTCCCTCTGTCCCTCTGTTTCTCTGTCCCTCTGTTCCTCTGTCCCTCTGTCCCTCTGTTCCTCTGTGCCTCTGTTCCTCTGTCCCTCTGTCCCTCTGTCCCTCTGTCCCTCTGTTTCTCTGTGTCACAGCACTCTCCCTCCCTCTCTCACACTGACTCCATTATGTCTCTTCCACCTCCAGCCAGTAGGTGACGATACCTCCAGCCCTCCCTGTCCTCTCAGCCTAGGGGAGGCTGTTCGCTGCACTGCTGCTAGCCTGGACCCTGGAGGTCTCCACCTGGTCCACGGACCCCTGGTCCTGCTACTCTGGGTGGGCCACAACATCTCCAACACCTCCCTGGTCCAACTCTTCAACATCACCTGTCTGTCCACACTACCCTCTGGAGAGGTGAGAGAGGGGGGAAGGAGAGGAGAGGGGTGAGAGGGAAGTCAGTGAGGGAACGTGAAGGATGAGGGCGTGGAAGTGGAATACATCGTAAATGCTTAGTGAAAGAGGTGAATGGACCACTGCTGATTAAATTCGATATCTACAGTATTTACAGTATGTTTATTTGTGTGTGTCTGTGCAGACGAAGCTGCCTGTGCTGGACAACCCACTGTCTGTCAGTGTGAGGTCACTCATCGACACCCTGAACTCACAGACACCCTATACCCGGAAGGTGAGGCTCTGGAAAACGTCCTTTTTGGGGTTGGCATGAACATGGGAGAGAGGAAGTTAAATAGTTATCACGAAATAACCTCTGACTAATATCTTAGGTTTGACTGACTGCGTGTGTGTGTGTGTCTCTCTGTCTCCCCCCCCCCCTATCCCCAGCTGCGTGTGGTGAAGCAGGGGGACAGCTGTGAGGAGGCTCTACAGCGACTTCTGGTAGAAGATAAGAGTCCCAACGGGGGAGCGAGCTACGCTGACTTCCTGTACCACCTCCATGTCAACTCTATACGACTGCTGGTTCATTAGGTGTAAAATGTTTTGAACTGGAAACGCAAGCATGGGTTTTTTATTGGACAAGTCCAGTTAATCCCTCCATGTTTCAATCAGCTTTTCTTCTGTTTGGTGCCTAATGAACATGACCCTGGTGCTTTCTAGCCCTGGATGGTCAGCAGTATGGGCAGGAGTTTTATCACCTCGACCACCCTCTCCCGAACAAATCTGAATGATCATAACCTTATTTGACTCACAGTATGCAACTGGTTGTTGTACTTGAGGCCATCAGCAAATGGTGATGTCTTATTTGTTTGACTGTTGTATTAATAACTTTTGACATGTTTACGTTAAAGCTGTGTGTGTGTGTGTGTGTGTGTGTGTGTGTGTGGTGTGTGTGTGTGTGTGTGTGTGTGTGTGTGTGTTTGGAGTGTATAAACTGTTGACTAATGTTATTATCTCTGACTGTTAGTAGTGTAGCTGACTGTCAAGGTCTCTTTGTCATCTGGATAAAGACAGAAGAGTGTACTTGATATGTTAATTAATGTGTGTGTGTGTGTGTGAACGTGTGCACAGCCCTCTACTGTACTGACAAATAGCTGAAATAAACATGACTTTTATGTAGAGAATCATATAAAATGTAATTCAATTTACTTAACCTTTTACTGCAGTGGGCTAAATCAGGGTCACACAGAGTGTTTTTTGGTGGTCTTAAACAAATCTACTTTGAGACAAAAGTATACACCTCACACACATGGTAATGGGCACATGGTTATGGCCACCTGTACCATGTCAGATATAGAGTTGAAATGTATTCAATTTTGAGTTTGCATTCCAGTATTACACTTTATATATACTGAACAAAGATATAAATGCAACATGTAACGTGTTGGTCCCATGTTTCATGAGCTGAAATAAAAGATCCCAGAAATTGTCCATATGTACAAAAAGCTTATTTCTCTCAAATCAAATTTTGTGCACAAATTTGTTCAGATCCCTGTTAGTGAGTATTTTTCCTTTGCCAAGATAATCCATCCACCTGACAGGTGTGGCATATCAAGAAGCTGATTAAACAGCATGATCATTACACAGGTGCACCTTTTGCTGGGGACAATAAAAGGCCACTTTAAAATGTGCAGTTTTGTCACACAACACAATGCCACAGATGTCTCAAGTTTTGAGGGGGCGTGCAATTGGCATGCTGACTGCAGGAATGTCCACCTGAGCTGTTGCCAGATAATTGAATGTTAAATTCTCTACCATAAGCCACCTCCAACGTCGTTTTAGAGAATTTGGCAGTACGTCCAACTGGCCTCACAAACGCAGGCCATGTGTATGGCGTATGTGGGTGAGTGGTTTGCTGAAGTCAACGTTGTGAACAGAGTGCCCCATGGTGGCGGTTGTGTTATGGTATGGGCAGGTATAAGCTACGGACAATTAACACAATTGCATTTTATCAATGGCAATTTGAATGCACAGAGATACCGTGACGTGATCCTGAGACCCATTGTCATGCCATTCATCCGCCACCATCACCTCATGTTTCAGCATGATAATGCACGGCCCCATGTCGCAAGGATCTGTACACAATTCCTGGAAGCTGAAAATGTCCCAGATCTTCCATGGCCTGCATACTCACCAGACATGTCACCCATTGAGCATGTTTGGGATGCTCTGGATCGACGTGTATAACAGAGTGTTCCAGTTCCCTTCAATATCCAGCAACTTCACACAGCCATTGAAGAGAAGTGGGACAACATTCCACAGGCCACAATCAACAGCCTGATCAACTCTATGCGAAGGAGATGTGTCACGCTGCATGAGGCAAATGGTGGTCACACCAGATACTGACTGGTTTTCTGACCCACGCCTCTACCTTTTTTAAAGTTATATGTGACCAACAGATGCATACCGTGCATTCGGAAAGTATTCAGACCCCTTGACTTTTTCCACATTTTGTTACGTTAACAGCCTTATTCTAAAATGGATTAAATGAAAACATTTCCTCATCAATCTACACACAATACCCCATAATGTCAAAGCGAAAACAGGTTTTTATAACTTTTTGTACATTTTTACAAATAAAAAAACAGAAATGCCTGATGAGAACCTGCTCCAGAGAGCTCAGGACCTCAGACTGGGGTGAAGGTTCACATTCTAACAGGACAACAACACTAAGCACACAGCCAAGACAACGCAGGAGTGGCTTCGGGACTAGTCTCTGAATGTCCTTGAGTGGCCCAGCCAGAGCTCGGACTTGAACCCGATTGAACATCTCTGGAGAGACCTGAAAATAGCTGTGCAGCGAAGCTTCCCATCCAACCTGACAGAACTTGCAGAGAAAAATGGGAGAAACTCCCCAAATACAGGTGTGCCAAGCTTGTAGCGTCATACCCAAGAAGACTTGAGGCTGTAATCACTGCCAAAGGTGCTTCAAGAAAGTACTGAGTAAAGGGTCTGAATATTTATGTAAATGTGATATTTCAGGGTTTGTTTCATATATACATTTGCAAACATTTCGAAAAAAAACTGTTTTTGCTTGGTCATTATGGGGTATTGTGTGTAGATTGATGAGGGAAAAAACAACAATTTAATACATTTTAGAATAAGGCTGTAATGTATCAAAATATGGAAAAAGTCAAGGGGTCTGAATACTTTCCGAATGCACTGTATCTGTATTCCCAGTCATGTGAAATCCATAGATCAGGGCCTTATGAATTGATTTCATTTGACTGATTTCCTTATATGAACTGTAATTCAATAAAATCTTTGTAATTGTTGCATGTTGAAATTTATATTTTTGTTTCGTATACATCGTAGAAGACTGAAATATAACAAAACTGGTTGACATAGAAACACCAGATTTGCGTCTGTTTAAAAAAAAAAAAATCTTTATTCATTATGAAAAATATTAATAACATTCCACCCATGAGGCCAAAGAAGGCGCTTTTGGTCATTGACTGCAGGAAAGGGTTACATAACTTTACTTTGTTTTCCTGTGATAGGCAATTGTCCTACACAAGGTTTTAAAAGCGTTTGATTCAATCATTGTCAGGTGGAGTGGGGTAGCAAAGGGATATCAGAACAAGTGAACGTTCAGCTAATTAATTGTCTCTGACGTACAAACCCAAATGTCCACAGTGAAGCAAGACAGACAGATTTAGCTTCACAACATTTGTAACATCTAGCTGAAGAATGACCTAATGAGAGCAATGATAATGACGTCATTGGCTCTTGTGTTCATGTCAACTGTCTGTGCCGACCCCCCAGGGCCCATGATGGTACAGTAGTCATCTACTGGTTTGGAGACAGGGGAAAGAAATGGTACGTCCAAAATAACACCCTTATCCCATCATAGTGCACTACAATCGACCAGAGTCTTATGGGCCCTTGTCAAAAATAGTGCACTACTTAGGGAATAGGGTGCGATTTGGAAAGAGTGAAAGAGAGAGAAGCAGCAACTCCACAATGAGTCATTGAGCTGACTAACGAGGCTAATTGGAGGCAATTATGTGGAATTAGGTCCTAACTGAAGGGTTATTAACTTATATTACAGACAGCTATATGTGGGAGTGAAGACTCACTCAGTGAACTGTCATTAGTTTTTCCCATTTATCAGGAAAAATGACAAACCACAACAGACACAGGGACAGATGTTCTTTCAAGTTAGAGACTCATATGGTTTAATGGTCAACGCTTGTAAGAGTCTTTTAGTATGGAATCCGCACTGAATATAACTGAATCAGTGAAGAGAAACAATAGTGAAACAGTACGCTATTCAGCTTTGGATTCCCAAGGTAAGACTGTTTTGCAGGTTTGTCGAAAGATCAAGATTAGAAGTGTCCTCAAACTGATGTTTCACAGTTTTATTTCTTAGTTAATCATTTATCACAGCATGTCTGTGTAACCATAAAATGTAATGACCATATACGACCATATGCTGTTTCAGAGGAAGGCAGAGAGCTAGAGCCTGTAAAGCAGGCAATGAAACCCGTAAGACTGGTTAGAATCAGATTTAGAGTCATTACAGGACAGGCGGGACTAATGCAAAAAAACATTGAAAAGACGTACAATGAAATGGTGCAATACTCCAAGAAGGGGAGTTTGAGAAGATGGATCAGAGGGGAGTTTGAGAAGACGGATCAGAGGGGAGTTTGAGAAGACGGATCAGAGGGGAGTTTGAGAAGACGGATCAGAGGGGAGTTTGAGAAGCTTTACTGGTTCCTGAAAGAGGAAGAGGAGGCCAGGCTGGCTGCACTGAGGGAGGAAGAGGAGGCCAGACTGGCTGCACTGAGGGAGGAAGAGGAGGAGAAGGGGAAGATGATCGCCAGAGAGATGAAGAACATTCAGGACCAGATCTCTTCTCTCACAAAAAGCATCACTGCTTTAAAACAAGAACTCCAGAAAAGAGACGTGCCATTTCTCAAGAGCTACAAACACATCCAGAGAAGTTCCAGAGCCCAGTACACACTGCCGGATCCACAGCTGGTCTCAGGAGCGCTGATAGATGTGTTCAAACACTTGGGCAACCTGCAGTTCAGAGTCTGGGAGAAGGTACAGGGGATTGTCAAATACACTCCTGTGATTCTGGACCCCAACACTGCTGCCCGCTGGCTCTCTCTGTCTGATGATCTGACCAGTGTGAAGCATTTAGGCAAAAGGCAACAGCTCCCTGACAACCCAGAGAGGAACACCATTTGCACCATAGTTCTGGGCTCTGAGGGGTTCAGCTCAGGAAAACACAGCTGGGAGGTGGAGGTGGGGGACTACCCTTACTGGCATATAGGCGTGGCCAAGGAGTCAATCAACAGAAAGGGGGAAGCATCTGCAACCCCAGAGTATGGATACTGGGCTATAAACCAGAGTAGTGGTCAGTATTGGGCAAGACATGAGACCCTCACTCTGAAGAGGAGACCCCAGAGGATCAGAGTACAGCTGGACTATGACAGGGGAGAGGTTTCAATACCAAAGACATGACACACATCTATACTTTGAATGAAAAGTTTACTGAGAGAATGTACCCATATTTCTCTATTGGACAGGCTAGTGATGCCAACCACACCGATATACAGATCTGCCAATCAGAGGTGTCTCTGACAGTGATGTCATCGCAGTGAGGTGTGTGGGGACCAGAAGTCCTCACAAGGATAGTAAGACATAGGATTTTCAATGGGAATCAATTGTTTGGTCCCCACAAGGATAGTAAAACAACGTATGTGTGTGTGTTTTGGAAGAAGGTGGTTGTGGAGAAGGGTAGTGGACCCATTCCAGAGAGCTTAGTGTGTTGGTTTACGATTAATAATTTGTTAATGAAGGTGATTGATGACTATAAAATGTGTTTCGTTTTTAATGTAGAAACACTAAGATAGTAGGGTTTTCAACTGCTCATCTATACCCAGAGAATCAGAGTGATGTCGTTAGGTTGTGACTCAGCTGTCATGCTGGGTTTATGTAATCAGTAAACTGTTTTCTATCGGGATTCATACAGTGATAAAGGTCTGTTCAGAGACGTGGCATGTCTCTGTCATCTCTACAGTGTAAACTCACAACATGGATTTCTACATCAGACTCGTTGGGGTGAATAGGACGTAAGAGGACAAAGGCATTTACACAGTCATTTAGCAGACGCTCTTATCCAGAGCGACTAACAGGAGCAACTAGGGTTAAGTGCCTTGCTCAAGGGCACATCAGCAGATGTTTCACCTAGTCGGCTTGGGGATTAGAACCAGCGACCTTCTGATTACTGGCCCAACGCTAACCTCCAGGCTACCAAGTTCATAAACACTGCGATCAGTTAAAGACTATCACAGTAATAGCACACCGTCTGTGTTTATAGTCCGGTGATGTCATGTCTGAGAGAGGAGCCAAGATAGTACCAGAGGTCTGTTCTGTGTGTATGATTTTCTCTCAATAGCTTGTGTTTGTTATTTCAATGACCTTTCCATTTCCATTACTTTAAATGATCATCTCAAACTATGATTCTACCATGTAAATGGTTTTTACTATTGAGATTTTTCAAAATACATATTGATTTTTAAATATTGAATCAATACATGGGTAGTCTCTGTATCCAATTTGAACTGTTCTGATTTGAATAAAACAGATTTTCATACTGACATTATTTAACATAAAATCATTATCTAACATCAAACTATACATGAGTCTAAAGTATAAGCTGTTATGTGGGGGTGAGCACTCACTCTGAACTGACATTTGTTTCCCCATCATCTAGCTGAAAAATGTCAAACCTAACCCCCGAAACACAACAGAGACTGAACACAGACCTAACCCCCGAAACACAACAGAGACTGAACACAGACCTAACCCCCGAAACACAACAGAGACTGAACACAGACCTAACCCCCGAAACACAACAGAGACTGAACACAGACCTAACCCCCGAAACACAACAGAGACTGAACACAGCTCTTTCAAGTTAGTTACAGACTCATACGGTCTAAACACAGGCTTTGACTGGTCATTTGAGCTAAACATCAAACAATAACATCTTTAGCTAATTGTGTTTTTTTCCCTGAGTTCTGAAATAAAACCACAGGGATGTGAGAGAAGGTCAAGGTGTCTGGAATGTAATCATGTGGCTCATGCAAGTTGCCAATGATAGTAGAGTAGTAGGTTTTCTATACTCTCTGGTTAAACTCACTTTGGTTAGTAATGTCACAGCAGAATGAAGCTGTTCTAGAATTATGGCAAGTTAGACCACATCCTGTAGCATGTGTAAATGAAGTTATTTGACAGCTCAATATGATTTAGTGCAACTGTTGCATTGGGTCCATACCACAATCATGTACCTTTAACATGTTCTATATTATTATTTGTTTAATATACTTGCATGACTGTAGGCCTATTCTAACATTACATAGGCCTATAATTAGGCCTAGGCCTATAGACAATTACAATACATACAGATTGATTTCAATGTAGGCTATTGTTTGTAATGCATTGCCATTGCATTTTATACCTGTAATTGAAATAATTTAAATCTACATCATACCCCTTTCCACCAAACACAAATAGCCTATTACGTTTGCCCGTATTTGGAAGTACAGTACACACGGGTAGTTACGCGCAGCGCCCAAATGAGGGCAGCGCTGAGCAGGTTTCGCCACAGGTCTTTGGAGCGCTTCACCATTTGCAGTCGAGCGCACTGGGTGAGGAACGATAGAGTACAGTAAGTAGAAAGATTGTGGGATAGACGAGGTCAAGCAAGCCACCTTGGTCGCTCGCCTGCCTTCCTTATCAAACCGAAACCTATCCGCTGCAGTACAAGGCTATCTTTGAATCGCCGGCAGCTCAGAAAGATTTTGAGAGAAAGTACATATCGCGCAGGAGGATCATATCAAGCGAAGTAGCAGCCGTGAGAGAAGCACGAGATACGGAGACATGGCTGCGACAACCTGTACACGATTCACGGACGATTTTCAGCTATACGAAGAGCTGGGAAAGTAAGTTTATTTGTTGTGGTAATTTGCATGAAACATTTGGGAATGTGTGACTGGCTGACTGTTGTCGTTTGCTTGCGTCACGGAGCCGTGGGTGCGGGTTTGTGTTGTTACCGTTGTCTTTTTCGACAGCAGCGCAAGGCAAGGGTGACAGGGCGCTCAAAATACTATTCTATCTCTCTCAATTCAATTTAAATTTAAGGGTCTTTATTGGCATGGGAAACATGTTTACATTGCCAAAGCAAGTGAAGTAGATAATAAACAAAAGTGAAATAAACAATACAAAATGAACAGTAAACATTACACTCACAAATGTTCCAAAATAATAAAGACATTTCAAATCTCTCTCTCTCTCTCTCTCTCTCTCTCTCTCTCTCTCTCTCTCTCACACACACACACACTCACAATAAATTATTGTTCCCTGCGCTCTTTCAAAAAATTAGGAAAAACGATCCAAAAATGTATCCAGAAGCCTACTCTAGGCACTGGGCATTGGGCACTATAGCGCGTCGGTTGGCGAGCTACACCCCTCTCCAAACCGCGCCTCTCTCTCAGGCAACCACTAGAAGCGGCCCGGGAGAAAGTGACATTTTGAGCTGTCAAAGAGCGGGGCTGTAGTTTGGTGTTAATAATGTGGAAGTGGCCTTTTCCCTTTTATTCAGATTACGACCTCTCACTTTCGGTTATTTTAAAATGAAATAATCTCCAAAATATCGCTATTTTTAAAACAAGACATAGAACGTTGGTTGCAATTTCAATTTAATCCACCAGAAAAGACAGAACAAATATTACAACAAATATTATGGTTAAACTCAAATATATTAATTGATTTAAAAAAACGTATTTTTTGATTTAAAAAAAAAAAACGGTATAATATTTTTAAATTATATCATAAATAGGACTGGTGGAGTTATGTCACACATGCAGCTAACAAAAATATATGGAAATGTCTGCTCCACCCAAAATTACAACTAACTAATTGCAGCATTACACATAAATGGAAGAGGCAAGTGGAAGGGGGAGAAAGTAAGAACTTGTCTGTTGCATTAAAGACCAAAATCGGTTAAAGAAAATTGTGATACATAAAAAAAAGTATACCAGTTTCATTTAAAGACCAAAAAATGGACAGCTGTGCAATATAGATTGCAAGATACAGTAGTTGGGAAGAGATTTTTGATGTACCAATTCCATGGCACATGGTTTATGAACTGATGCACAAAATGACACCGGATTCAAAACTCGGAGTTTTTCCATATAAATTATTATACAAAATTATTGCAACCAATGTTATATATATATATGGGGGATACCAGCTCTGCATATATTTCTGCGAGGAGACAGATTCAATAGATCATTTGTTTTGGTACTGTCCATATGTAGCTTGTTTTTGGTCGCAGGTTCCAATAATGGCTGAAGAATTGCAACATTTACCTTTAGCTAACTCTGCGAATAGCACTGCAAGGTCATTTGAAAAGTCATAGTCAATTAGTCAATAATACAGTAAAACTCTTAGCAAAAATGTTTATCTTTAATTTACAATCTGTAGAAACTATGAGAATAGAAAGGTTCAGAACTTTTGTGAAAGAGCACAGTTGAAAATATATGGCAAATAGAAACAAACAAAAGATAACTATTGTAAAATATACAGTTGAAGTCGGAAGTTTACATACACTTAGGTTGGAGTCATTAAAACTCGTTTTTCAACCACTTCACAAATTTCTTGTTAACAAACTATAGTTTTGGCAAGTCGGTTAGGACATCTACTTTGTGCATGACACAAGTTATTTTTCCAACAATTGTTTACAGACAGATTATTTCACTTATAATTCACTGTATCACAATTCCAGTGGGTCAGAAGTTTACATACACTAAGTTGACTGTGCCTTTAAACAGCTTGGAAAATTCCCGAAAATGATGTCATGACTTTAGAAGCTTCTGATAGGCTAATTGACATAATTTGAGTCAATTGGAGGTGTACCTGTGGATGTATTTCAAGGCCTACCTTCAAACTCAGTGCCTCTTTGCTTGACATCATGGGAAAATCTAAAGAAATCAGCCAAAATTGTAGACCTCCACGAGTCTGGTTCATCCTTGGGAGCAATTTCCAAACACCTGAAGGTACCACGTTCATCTGTACAAACAATAGTACGCAAGTATAAACACCATGGGACCACGCAGACATCATACCGCTCATGAAGGAGACGCGTTCTGTCTCTTAGAGATTAACGTACTTTGGTGCGAAAAGTGCAAATCAATCCCAGAACAACAGCAAAGGACCTTGTGAAGATGTTGGAGGAAACAGGTACAAAAGTATCTATATCCACAGTAAAACGAGTCCTATATCGACATAACCTGAAAGGCCGCTCAGCAAGGAAGAAGACACTGCTCCAAAACCGCCATAAAAAAGCCAGACTACGGTTTGCAACTGCACATCGGACAAAGATCGTACTTTTTGGAGAAATGTCCTCTGGTCTGATGAAACAAAAATATAACTGTTTGGCAATAATGACCATCGTT